CTGGGGCCTTATTTTTTGCTATTTCCTTCAAAGCAGCTTGAACTTCTTCCTTCATCACCATAGGTTCTTGCTCATATGTTATTTCTTTAAATTCCTCTGTATCTGCCAATTCCTTTCTATATATAGGTTAGAAAAATTCTGATATCTGGTATTTGAACAAAGGAGCTCTAGTGGCAAGAAGCTGTGTTGCAAACCCAAAGGCACAGGGTTCGAGGCCACCAGCTGCTCCGTGGGAGAAGGATGGGCAATCTCCTCCTGTGCTATTAACTCTGAAAACCCGCCAAAGGGTCAGCTATAGGTCAGTTCCGACTCAATGGTACACACAACAACAACATCTGAAAAATGACCTATTGAGTTTCCAGAAACTGAATCTTTTTTTTTTTAACACCATTATAAAGCGGTACAAATGGCACACAATAGAAGCTACACTGCAATCCCAAAGGCGCCTGGATCAAATCCACCAGATGCATTGCTGGAGAAAGATGGGCCGTCTCCTCATGTGCCAGTCCGATCCTACTCAACGGCACATAACAAGAAAAAAAAAGACACACAATACATTGTACATATTTAAAATGTTTTTTAAAAGAGAGAGAAAGATTTCTAATCATTCTCACTCATCACTCGTTGCCATTGAGTTGGAACTGACTTAAAGCTGACCTCCCACTGAATTTCCGAAGCTGTCAACTGCCCAGGAGGAAAGAGGCTGCCTGTGCTGCTCCGGAGAGGACACTGATGGATTCGGACTGCCAGAAGGGCGTGGCCATTGTGTTAACAGTGCAATTCTCTGTCCATTCTATACCACCAGAGCTTCTACTGTTTTTAATACTAGTTCAGTCAAACTTGCAAAATCTGAAATCTACACAAGGCAGAGACATGTTGAAGAGGGAAAATCCCAATGTTTTCCACTAATTAGAGCAAAAAAGTGCTTGTGGCTTAGTGGTAAGAGTTGCACTGCAAACCCAAAGGCCCGCAGTTTGAATCCACCAGCTCATTTGCAAGAGGATGGGCAGTCTCCTCTGCTATTTACTGTCTATGACAACTCACTGGCGGGTCAGCTATGGGTTAGTTCCGACTGAACAGTGCACAACAATAATCATAGTGGGGGAGGAAAAGTGGTAAACTGTATCTGGCAAAAGGATGGACATTTGTAAGGTCAGGAAAAACAAGACAGTCCCTCAAGTTCCAGCTTTCTCGGGTTTCACTGTAATGCTAGGATCACCTAAGAGTTTATCTAACTCTTTATTCCTTTTTTTTTTCAAGTACAAAGAGCATTAGACTTGGGTTCTTACCCCATCCCTGCCCTTCAATGGCTAACACTGTGGACTCACATGTCTCAAATATCTCCTCTGTCATCACCAAGGGACCCTCTAAGGTCACTTTCACATTTACAATTGTACAACCTGTATATCCATATCCTATAGTCTGGATCTATAAGGGGAGGGCCCTTCTCCTCACCCGGTTCTCCACGATGGCTTGACTTTGTTTTCCAAAAAGCAGTTCCAAAGAAGCTTGGATGAATGACTTCGTGCCCATCACAGGTGTGTACTCATAGTTCAGGGAGGGATCCTGTGCTATCTGCTTCCGGAGCTTCGTCACCACAGGAGAAGTCCAGGGCTGCCCATCTTCACTCATGCAGACTGTGAGGGGAAGTACAGAGTGTTTGCACTTAGAGGCCCGAGGCAAGGCCAGTGGCTCGGAGATTCTGGACTTGGGAAAATTGCCTCGGAAAAGACTACGTTCCTAAAGAAACCATAACTGCCATCCAAGTGTGTGTGTGTGTGTGTGTGTGTGTGTGTGTATTCATGTTCATTGTGCTTTGTTCAAAATAGCAAAGAGTTGGAAACAACCTTAGTGTCCATCAACAAACGGATGGATAGAGAAGTTGTGGTATATTCATACAATGGAATACTATGCTGCATTGAAAAACAAGGAACTCATGAAATATTATACAAAATGGATGACCCTGGAGGACATTATGTTGAGTGAAATATCTCAGTCACAAAAAGAAAAATACATCATAGTACCACTGTTGTAAAACGGGACTAACATTGAGGTTGGGAAGAGACTGAGAAAGATGGGATAAATAATGTATACTGCGTTGAAACAGTTGATGGAGAGAACTGTTTAAAAGCAATATATGACTAGGTATTTTTGTCATGACAGGAGTCCAGAATTAAGGCTGCATAGTGGAGTGAACTTCGGGGGAGGGTTTGTATAACAATGAAAGAATTTTTCTTTTACTTTTCAAAGAGAAAAGCGAATTGAGGGGAGAGGTGGACAGGGAGAAAAATGCAATGAGTGAATGTAAATCCAAAGTCTCTGTAAATGTCCATTAAAATTAATAAAAAAAAGAAAAGACTACTTTCTTCCTTTCTTTTTTCAAAAACAATATGAACGTTCTGAAAATGTGTAAGTGTTTGTTTTTTCTAAGACATAACAAGTCTAGACCATTTTAAAAGGTAAAAGCTATACAGGAGGTGAGGGTTATAGAGACAGGAGAAGTCTCAGAATTTCAGAGAAGGAGAGGAAGAAAGTGCTGAGGAAATTGTCATTCCGTCCAGCTCCAAAGCTCAGAGCCGGGGAAAAGGATTTGCTCATGAGTTGGATTGACTCAGTGACCTCAGCAATGGGCTGTGGTGGGTCAGAGATGATGAAGGCAGCACAGAACAAGGCAGAGTTTAGACCGGCTGTTTATAGGATCCCTATGAGTCATACTCAACTCAGTAGTGGTATGCTAGACTAAATCCTGGGCTGGCCGTTAAGCAAAAAAGTTGGTGGTTCCAACTCACCAGCCATTCAGGGAGAAAAGAAAACCCTATGGAGCGCTGTTCTACTCTAACACTATAGGGTTTTCGTGAGTCAACGTTTTTTCTTTCTTTCTTTTTTTTTTAATGGGCAACCAAGCTATACTAAAGCATAGTACCGGTATAAAACATAGTACTGGCAGAGAGGTTAAATGCTTTGCTACTAGCCAAAAGATCAGCAGTTCAAATCCACAACTTGCTCTGCTGTAGAAAGATGTGGCAGTCATTTTCTAAGAGTCCACAAAGGCCTTGGGAACCACTTGGGAAAGTTCTACTTTATTTCAGCGGGTCACTGAGAGTTAGAATTCAACTCAACAGAGATGACTAATATACACTAAGTCTTATAACTGGGTGGCCCAATAGTAAAGTACTTGACAAAGAGGCAGGTGGCATAAATGATGAAGCACTTAGCAGGAAGTTTGGATCGCACCCAAAGACAGCTCTGGAGGCAGGCCTGAAGAGCTGCTTCCAAAAACCTATGGAGAATTTCTGCTCTGCATATGTGGATCACCACATATGGGAATCAACTCAACGCCAACTGACAACAACAGTACTCCCAGAAAACTAGGCAGCTACCTCTGTAGGCCAAGAATACTCCCACTACAGCTACCTCTGTAGGCCAAGAATGTCTTCTTTGGGTGATCATCTTGTTTGTAGCTCTTTAGCAAGCTGCCTTCTAACTTGTAGGACATGGGGACATCCACGAACACTGAGAGGGTGGGCATAATCAAGATGAAAATGGAGCCAAGACTGGCTTTGCTCTCTGTCCTTTCTTCCCTGCTTCTGCACAGAGCCCTCCTCCAAGTCTGGACCAGAAAGTACTGCTTCTTCCCGGAGCGTCAGCAACTCCAATCAATGGTTACCAAAGCAATGGAACCTCCCATCTCCCCATCTCCATGGAGGCAATCTTAAAGGGCTACAGGAACATTCCATGTTGTTTCAGAATTCCCTGAGAGAGTGAACAAGGCGAAGCATTTGGGCAGGATGTGGGATTCCAAGGCAGTCGTCCCCAACCTGCTATAATCTCTCCAGCCTTATGTTGCCAAAACTAAAATAACACGATCAAACCCTCTCAAAGATAGGACTGCAAGGCAGGCAGCCAATGAACCGTGTGAGGGCTTGCCTCAGCCTCAAAAATTTCAGACTAAGCAGCAAAAGTTGAACAGTGCAATTTAAATTCTTCCACATTTTTAATTTTGCAAATGACTTTCAATTTTTAAAGGAACAGAAAGATTGCACTCACATCAGAAATGGTCAAGATGTCACAGGATTCGGATCTGTGGTTCACAGGGGTTGCTATGAGTTGCAGTTGGCTTGGCAGCACTTTCTAACAATATGCTTAGATATTGCAGCCATAATGGCTTAGTGGGTTGCGTTCTGGGATATGAACTAAAAGGGTAGGGAAAAGAGCAGCCTTGGAGAAGAATGCTCCTTGAAGGCAAGGATAGTGAAACATGGTCTCACATTTTGGGGGCACGTTGCTAGGAGAGGCCCATATTCTTGGAACGGGATAGCATGTTTGGAAAGGTAAAAGGTCAGCAAAGAGAAGAAGACCCTCAATGAAAAGGATTGATACAGTGATTGCAGCAATGGGCTCAAGTGTGTCAGAGATGGTGATGTTGGCACAGGATAGAGCAGGGTTCAGGTCTGTTGTTCACAGAGTTGCTATGACTCATGCTCTACTTAACAGCACCTAACAAAAATTAAAACTAATAGATTCTAATCTTCCAGCTGCTCTACAGGAGAAAGATGGGTGGTCTCTTCCTGCTAAGATGTGTAGCCTCAGAAACTCAATGGAGGGTTGCCGTGTGTCAGAATAGGCTCAGCAATGGAGTTAGGCTTAGAAACAAAGACATTTGCAATGAATTAAGTTGGTCCTATTTCTCTCAGTTATTTAGAGCCAAGTCTTCTTTCTACATTTGTTAACAGTTTCAGTGTTTGCTCAGGGCTCAAGCAGCAGAGAAGGCTAAAAGGCAAATGGGAAAACAATCATATTCTGTAAAGTTCTCAAAAGTCGTTGCTGAGTTGGGATCAACTTATAGTTGACTATTCTGTTTCCAAGTCTGTAAAGCACACAAAAGGCAGTCACTTACCTTTCTCCGTTGGAGTAGTTGATGGATTCAAACCACCAGAGAGGTGCAGCATTTGGATTGGCACTCTAACTCTCTATGGATTATGCCACCAGAGCTAGCTAACTTTTCATTTTTCTCTCGTTAGTAATATTTTTATGCTTGTTACAGAAACTTTTGATACCTCACCCACAAACCATTTACCAGTCAATGCTTCCCCCCCGCCCCGCCCCCTGTAGCTGCTGCTGGGCTGGTGAATATGAGCGTAGGCGTGTGCCTTGTCTGAAGAATTGTGCTTCATTCTCAGACTCTTTCATTGCTGTCAAGTCGAAACCAACTGATCATAGCTGGCTCTCCGTTAGGTTTCAAAATCTTTAAATGGCACTGGAGGAAATTGTCCACGTTCTTCATTACCATAGAGTTGAAGCCAAAGCAAACTGACCTCCATTGGGTTTTCAGAGCTGTAAATTACATGAAAGGAAATTGTCTCTCTTTCTTCCTTGGAGCCATTCATAGGTAGATTTGAACTGCCAGGAAAATGTGGCTTTTTAGTTAGCAGCAAAATTCCATGTGGACTAGGCCACCAAAACTCCTTTGCCCTTCACTTGTTGTTGTCATGAATAACTGACTTTTCAGCATTCTTTCAGAGGCAGTAAGTCACATGGGAAGAGATTGCCCATCTTTCTCTCACAGTACAGCTGGTGGATTTGAACCATCTACCTTTGGGTTGTCACACAGCATAAATTCTTCTGGTATTCTTTACTTTCAGCCAAGATTCATCTGACATCTGCTAAATCCTGCTTGAACTTCTGGCAGTTTCCTATCTATGTACTATTCAAGCCATTTTTTAATGTCTTCAGCAGTGTTTGCTTGTATGTTATTTTAATAATATTGTTCAATAGTTTCTACATTCAGTTGGAACACCTCTCTTGGAAATGAGAACAAATATGGACCTCTTCCAATCCATTCGCCAGATAGCTGTCCTCCAAATTTCCTGGCATAGAGTGATGAGCGCATCTAAGTCTACATCTTTTAATTGAAATAAGTCAATTGGTATCCCATCTATTTCTGGGGCCTTGTTTTTGCCAATGCCTTCAATGCAGCTTCTACTTCCTCCTTCATTACCATTGGTTCCTGTTTATATGGTACTTCCTGAAATTTTTCAGTGTCAATCAATTCTTTCTGGTAGTGATTCTGTGTATTCCCTCCATCTTCTTTTGATACTTTCTGCGCCATTCAATATATTGCCCTTAGCATCTTTCAATATTGCAACACAAAGCTTAAATTTGTTTTTCAGTTCTTTCAGCTTGAGAAATGCAGAGCGAATTCTTGCCTTCTTCATTCTCCAATTTCAGCTCTTTGTGCATTCCATTATAATACTATGCTTTGTCCTCCCGAGCTGCCCTTTGAAATCTTCTGTTTAGTCCTTTCACTTCAACATGTTTTCCTTTAGACTTGGCTTCTCAGTGCTCCAGTGTCCTCCATTTTTTTTAATGGTCTTTTACTTTCTTCATGGATGATATCCTTGATTTCACCCCACAACTCATCTGGTCTTTAATCATTGATGTTCAATGCCTCAAACCTATTCTTAAAATAATCTTGAAATTCATATGGAATTGATTCAAGATCATATCTTGGTTCCTGTGAACTTATTTTAATTATAAAGAAAACAAAGGTTCTTACCACTGGATCAGTAGGCAGTGTTATGATGGATTGAGAGGAGACTGAAACTGTCAACATCTTCATCTTGCTTGGATCCACATTTAACACCCTTGGTAGCAGAAGTCAGGAAATAAGGAGATGCTTGCATTGGAAAAAAAAATCTGCAGTTAGGCACCTTTCCAAATTATTGAGGAGTGAGGATGTCAGTTTGAGAACTAGGGTGCATCTGATTCAGGCCATGGTCTTTCCAATTATTTGCTATGCGAGAGCTGGACAATGAATAATGGTGACAGAAAAATAATTGATGCCTTTGAGCTGTGGTGTTGAAGAAGAATATTGAACATCCCATGAACAAGCAAGAGAACAAACACATATGTCTTGGAAAGGGTGCAGCTGGAGTGCTCTTTGGAGGCAAGAATGATGAGGCTTCACATCACATACTTTGGGCCTGTTGCTAGGAGGGGCTATTCCTTGGAAGGGTGGAGAGTTGGCAAAGGAGAGGAAGACCTTCAACTAGGTGGATTGACATAGAGACTGCTTCAGGGTTCCACTAGAGAAAGATGGGAAATCGACTTCTGTGAAATTTACTGCCTCCGAAAACCTGCTGGGTTGTCAGCTATGAGTCAGTTCTGACTCGACAGTAAAACCACGACTCCTTTACAAGTTCCTCCGGAAGGGTTGCTGTTGCTAGCTGCCATCAAGTCAGTCACTAACTCATGGCCACCGCAAGTGTGAAAAAGTAGAATTGTTCTGTAGGGTTTTCTTAGCTGTAATATGTATATAAGTAGATTACCAGAACTTTCTTCTGTAGAACCAGTGGGTGGAATCATCCTTTTGGCTGGAAGTCAATTGCAAACCATTCGGGAAATGGTTTCTTTCCTGAAGGGTCCTTCCTCTATAAATTAAATGCCTCGACATCCTTCTCTGGTTGTGCTTCTAGTGATCCTGCCCTGAGACAAAATACTATGAAAGTCATCTATATGATTGTACAAAACTTTCTAAACTTATGAAGAACACAAATTTCCTACCATCAACTTATATACATCAGTCAACCTTTGGTGGTGATGGTGGTGTTGTTAGGTGCTGTTGAGTTAAATATGACTAATAGCAACCCCATCAACAAAAGATCTGAACCAGTCCTGTCCTGTGCCATCTTCACACCACCCAACACACTGCAGCAGTCACCATGTCAATTCCTTTTCTATTACACTAAAATTTTAGATAATGGACATAAAATTGGCATATATAAACTCCATTATATTTTCTTCATTGAACATTTGAATTGTGACTATTTTAACTAATTTTTAAAAATATATTTATTTATTTTTAATTTGTTGTACCATCGAATTGGATCTGACTGGCACAGGGGGAGTTTGCCCCTCCTTCTCGAGGGAAGCATCTGGTGTATTCGAACTGCACACCTTCGGTATTACAGCATAGCTTCTGACCACTAGGCCACCAGTGCTCCTTTATTTTAACTCATATTTTAAATGTGTGTTCCATTTAGGACTTTTTATGTGGCAAATAATAAAAACTCAACCCAGCTCAGCTTGCCCAAGAAAGTGTATGTGTTGGGTGGCATAGCTCGGCCATCCATGACTTCATCTGACTTCAGTTACAGTTGAGTCCAGAGCTTCACGGTGCCATCTGGCCTCCAGCTTCCTTCTCTGTGGGTCTCTTGAATCTTCCCTCCTGGGTGCTTCTGCTGTGTTCTCTGGACAATTCAGGTTTTGAGAGCAAAAACAAAAGCAGGGCATGTGCAAAATAATAAGCATTGAGAGAATGGACTTTACAGCTTTGTTTAGAAAGAACCTAAATGTCGGCGAGCTTGGGTGGCCTAGCGTCAAGAAGCTGCAGTGCAATCCCAGAGGTGCGCAATTCGAATCCACCAGATACTCTGTTGGAGAAGGAGGGACAATCTCTTCCCATACCAGTCAGATCTGATTTGACGGTACACACACACACACACACACACACACACACACACACACACG